ATGTTTGATACGTATTTTATTTTATTTGTGTATAGAAAGTATAATTTACCTTTCTTTAGTATTTAATCGTGAAATGTTTATTTACATTGCCTGCCATCTTAAAAACAACGTTTTCAACAAAAAATTAATCCTTATTTTATATCCATCATTATTTTTTTAGTTTCGATACTTACTATCGCAAAATAACGTAAAAACGGCGTTTTTCAATGTGGTGATGATTGTCAAATTGCTCCAAAGTAAATCGCCAAACATCCGTGCACATCTACAAGTACACAAAGTTGAAAAAATTACCCAGAAATGAAAGGCATAGGCGTGCACTTCGTATTTGTTTCTCTTGTGTGTACATGTCTTCTCTGTGAAATAGTTGTTAAAAAATATTAAATTATGGATTAGTAATTAGGTAGTAAGGAAAAAATTGTATTAACATTCGCATTATGAATTAAACTCTGTCATTGAATTATTTAGCAGATCAGTTATCTTTCTCATAATTCAAAACTTTTATCATGTATTCGATGAGGGGTAGGCTATGCGCCAGCACCCTGGGTTAAGCACCGCAGTTTCAACAATCTTAGTAAAACATAAATATAAAAAAAAAAAATTAAAGGAATTTTAAATACAAAACCAAAGAATAACTACTAATAAATTAGAGACATAAAATTATATTTTAGGACTTAAAAGAAAAATGCATGTAAATAGATGGGTAGGCTGATAGAAAAATACTCCTAAATAATTCAGATGATCGAATTGCATCTAGAAGAATCTAATCAAAATGCATATGCTAATAAGAATCAAACAGAAAAATTTAAATATTTCATTTTAAAACAATTCCGTAGTTAAATCGGAACATAGATTGAAAAGTACATGCCTTCAGATATACAGAATAAAATTGTTAAGACTCTAATATCGAATTTATGAATAACACAAAGCTAACTTCACCCTCAACCTCAATGTATTATTTGCGGGGATTTATTTTCCAATCAAAGTATGCAACCAATCGTTTCTTAAAAGACGTCTTGATGAAGAATGACAATTTAAAGGATGAATCTGAAGAATAATTTAAAAGGAAATTATGGTTCAAAAATAGTAACCAAGTAATGAAAGGTTTTGTTACTTCAAGTGAAAAAACTTTAGTTACAAAGTAAGCCTAAAAATATGAAGACTCGGCCAGGCTCAAACTATTGAAGAAAACCTTGTATTACCAAAAGCTAAGGATAGTGTTTTAACATTATTCAATGAGAAAGCGGCTAATACTAAATAATATTCCATTATTAAATGATACAACAAGTCAATGAATTCATTAAATGGCAAATTCCATAAAAGAGACCCTTGTTCAAAAAATAAAACACAGTGAGTATTTCGCATTGCAATTGGATGAAAGTTCTGATAGAATGAGTTCAATTATTAGTTTGCATACGTTTCGAAGATAAACGAATTGCCAAAGAGTATTTATTTTGTGAATCTCTTCATGATAGAGCAACTGTAAATTAAATTTTCAAAGTAATCGGCAATTTTATGTCTGAGAATGATATTCCTTGTAATAAGTGCATTGCTGTATGCAGTGACGGAGCTCAAGCTTTAACACGAAAACATTCCGGTGTGATTTCTGAAATAAAGAAAGTCGCTTCCGAAATTAAATTTACTCAAAACAGTCCCCAAAAACTTGAAAATCGTTTTGAATCAAACTGTGAAAATTATTAATTTTATTAAAAGCGAAGCTTTAAATTTAATTCATTCAAATATTTACAATTTTGTGGCAAGAGATGAGCAGTGAGCATGAAAAGCTTTTGTTACACTCCAAAGTAAGGTGGTTATCCAGATGAAAAGTTTTAAATCGTCTTTTTGAACTTCAATCAGAAATTCAAATTTTCCTCTGTGATTTAAAATCTGAATTGCAAAATGTTTATTTAGTGAATTATGGTTGGTGCATTTAGCATATTAGCTGATATTTTCGGAGAGTTAATGATTAAAATTATGATACAAGGACAAAGTTTAATTTGTTTACCTTAATATAAAATAAATGTATAATAAAAAATCGAGCTAGTAATCAAGGAACTGGATAATAACATTTTAAACTTTTTACCACTTTTAGAAAGTTTCTTTACCAAAATTAATTTGAAAAAAAAAAAAAAAAAAAAAAAAAGCATCCGACAATAAAAATCATTGTTTTTCATTGATAAATAGTTCCAACATGTATTTTCCCGAAGATTATGAAAAAGAAAATTGAATCAGAAATTCATTTTGTTCAAAGGTACTTAAATTTTATCTCACAAAGGAAAAGAACAATTGAAAGAAATTTCCTGTGATCAAACTCCAACTGAAGATTTAAAAAATAAGACAATTGTTAACTTTTGGCTGAACCCCCTCCCCCCCGAAAAAAAGATTTAAAGGCATTTAAGTAATGCTATTTAATTTTTATTTCCTTTTTGCATAACTTATTTGTGTGAATAGGATTTTTTTTTTTTTTTCATATTATATCTGAAAACTAAATACAGAACAAAATTAAAAGTGGATCCTAATTTACAGTTACAACTAAGTGAAATAAGACCAAATATAAAGAAACTGATCTGTCTTAAATCGGCCCAAATTTTGCACTAAATTTTAGAATTAAGTATTACTATACCTTTAGTTTTGATAGTTAAAATGGTAACCAATATTTATTCTAATATTTTTATGTGTGCATATTTAACACCAATAGCTAGTGGATGTGGAAATGGCAATATATATATATATATATTTATTTATCTATTTCTATTGAGAAATTGAAAAATAATCATTGTAAAATTTTGTGGTGGTACTAAAGTTCTTCAATTTTTGTTTAGATGGTATGCATTAGTCAAAAGGTTAGGAGCTTCTGTGTTCACATATCATTCCAACAGGGCAGTTCACTAACTGAGGCAGTCTTCACGAAAGGATTAAATACCAAACTAAAGAATGTTCCATATAAGAATGAAACAAATTGGAGGGGGGATTGTTTTAAATATTTTTCAGTCAATTCCCTTTCCATTACTACACTTAATTTTGGCATAATTTTCTTTGTGGCATATCTTATAAAAATTCTCTTTAACTTTTGTCAGCACATTTGCACTGTTTTGTGTAGCTGATGGAAGTAAAGTCTGTTAAACTAAGGCAATTGTTAGGCATCTCATTTCCACTGGAATACTTGCTTTAAAATCTTTTGATAGCTCTAGCCTAGCGTATGTTAGGGGCATTACTCGATTTAGATACAAAATAAATTTTCTGGTTACTCAACTAGTTGATATCATTTGTTAATAATAGCTGGTAGTTAAATCTGGCCAAAACAAATATTATCCTTGATCATGTTTGATGAAAGGAATCATACCTTATATTTATTACTGCATTGATTTAACTAAACAAAACTAACACTTTCTTGGAAAAGAACCAGTCTAGAAACATTGCTCTCTTCATCCACGACATGCCATACCATAATTTTTCTTGCGATTTTTTCTTTAAGCTTTATCTTGAAGTGTACAGAAATAGAGTTTAAGGTAAGCTAAATCATTACATTTAGTGCCATTTCTGTGATCAGGATCAAGCATAAAAAAATACGATTCATCATCAATAACATTTCCATCCACTTTTAAATAGATAAATTTCAAGGCATATTTCCCCCTATTTCTGACACTTCCCACCTGCCATTATATACAATTTTAAGCCTTTATCTTTTAAATCAGATAAAGAGTTGATGATTTTGATAGCTTCAATTTACAAACAATTTGATGGATAATTTTTTTTTTATGAATTTCTTTTTTAACCATTTTCATGAAACGCTGCCTTTCCTAAAATTTTTAATGATATCAACATACCTGTTCTTTTTATAATGTTTTAAAACTGCATAAATTTGTGCTTTTGATATCTGACTATTTTTGTAATATTTAAACAAAACAGTTTTACACCTTATGGCATCACAATTATATATAAGCATACTATTTTGTTCTCTATATGAATCATTGTTACCATGGTAACTTGAAATATTTATGTCTTTATTGCTTATATTTAAAAAATGTATTTCTTTCTCATCTCCGACAATAGTTAAAATATTACACTCTACTGAACAATTACATGTGCTTATGTGTTAAATATTTCAAACAGAAACAAAATGTGTTTAAAATTACTTATAAACATTTATTTGGTCATCACTATGTATCCTTAAGTTTTAAAACTGTATCAAATGCCAAAAAACATTTATTATTCAATTCCGGATAAATCTTTCAAAAAAAGAAACTTTCTACAAACTGTAAATCAGTATTTGTACATTTTGATGTATATAGAATTTTTTAGAATTAAATATTTGTTTTTACCTGACTGAAATTTTTAATTTATACAATAAAAAAACATACTTTATTGCTTTTGTATGGTTTATTTTGAAATTTTTAAAAATGATACATTTTCATCAACTATATGAATTTTACAAATTAAGCTGAATTGAATTTATTGTAATACATTTTAACTTTAATGTAAAATAAAAATGTAGTTATTCATGTTCTAAAAATAGTCTCAATTTTAATTGTTTACAGCCAAAATACTGTTATGCCAGCAAAAGTTACCTTTTATATACTTTTTAGTCAAAAAATTTAAAGCTATAGTCAATAGGATATTTAACATAAGGGGAAAAAAAAAAAAAAAAAAAAGGTTGTTATTTTAAATGCACAATATATTTGAAGATAAATTTTTTAATGAATTTTTATTTGCATCTCACTCGAAACGCATGTGAAAACATATTTAAATTTATATTTTTAGATATATTTCTATTTATCGCAAATAAATATTTAAAAGCATATACTTAAAAAAATAAGCTTTTTAAAATTAATATGACTTCAATAAAATTTGCTATGCTTCATTATCTTATTTTCCTCTTACTCATGATTCATGTGCAAACATATTTTAATTAAAATCTACAAATTTATATTTGTAGGTATTAATTATATGTTACTTATTTTAAATAACAATTTACAATCATATTTAAAATTAAAAAAGGAGTCTTTTAAAAATAATGAATTTAATAAAACTTGCTATGCTTCATTATCTTACTTCTTCATCAGCAAAAACTCTTCACAAATGTACAAATTCTAATATCATGAACAATTAGTAGCATTTTTATTTATATAGAGAGAAAAATTTAAAATATTTACAATTTTATTTATCAAATTATTAAAATTTCAAACATATATATAAAACAATATTTTCATTTGTACAAAAATATACAAAATGCGTAACAAGATCTGTCAACATTGTTCTTCCATTCTCTGTCTTAAGGCTTTATAAAATCTATCATGGAGCCTGAAAATGAACAGACAGTTATGTTACAAACTGGGAAAAAAAAATTGTTAACCATTTTATGAATTCACTGAAATTTTTTTAATAAATCTGTATTACAAAGTAATAAAATAAAACCTACATATATGTCATAATTTCGGAGCACAGTCGTGATTGCTGAGTTGTAGGACAAAAGGGAAGAAGTTGATACCAAACTAAGTTCAGCTAATTATCATCTTTATTTCCAGACACACGAGAATAACTCCTTGTAAACAATATACTCTTTAATCATACAATTATGATAATTTCTTATACACATTGGTTTTTTAGAAATTAAGATGCAGGCATTCTAGAAAAGCGAAGCAGGGAGATATTAGCAAAGTAGAAGTTAGCAGAAAAATGACGCAGAATTAATACGTAGCTAGCTCACTAGAGGTATTTATACCAGAGTAGGTACGATTCTAGAAACAAGCTATGGTTGGTTAATATTAGTTTCAAGTGCCCTTTTCATAGTAGCATTACATAACGTACGGAAATCTCGAATTTGGGAGAACAGATGTATTTAGGGGGAGATCACCAAATCTAGAAAGCTAATTTTGAGATCGTCAATTATTTTTTAAAAGAAGCTATTGTATTTTGTTATATCTTACACTTACACATATATAAAACAATATTTTCATTTGTACAAAAATATACAAAATGCGTAATAAGATCTATACATATACATATAAATTTTCAAATTTATATGTATATGTATATGTATATGTATATGTACGCACATATACATATAAATTTTCAAATTGTTCTTCAAGAAGGTTAAAAATATTCTAATAAAAAGGAACTAACAATTTTTAATATTGAATTTATGCTTACTCATCTGTATTTTAATCTTTAATATTCAAAACAAACATCTATTATCACTTGATGGAATCTTAATTTTGAAGTTTAAAAATTTAAGTGCAGAATAACAGCAGTGTACAGTTCATTTCAAAATGCACTTTTACTGGATCGAGGAATACTGTTATTTTTGTTAACGCTAAAAAAAAATCCAACTGGTTATTTATTAACTGTTACTATTATTTACTGGTGAGACAGACTTACAACCATGCTGGTTTTTACTTGCATTTAGTGAGCTCAATGCCTAAAGATGTAAGAGTGCAGCGCTACCGCCACACAGCGAAGAATAAGTGTTGTTTGAGCTGATGAGCAAGTCTCGGCAGGCAGAATTCAATTTGGAATGAAGTGAAGCCATTTAGTGGCCATTTCATAAGATAGCAATGCCTTATACAGCAGCAGGGGTGATGAAGTAATACACAGCATGGCAAAGAAACATTCAAGGTATAAAATTCATTTTATATATACCAGGGGTGGCCAACCTGTGGCTCGCGAGCCACATGTGGCTCTTTGATGGCTTATTTGTGATAAATGTACCCGAGTTCCCTTTTCATTTTTGTGTTATTATATTTTAAAAAATTATTATCATTCTGTATGTGTTTCAAAATGTCTTTTAAATTACTGACAACAAATATGAAAGACTAAGTGCAACGTTGCAACAAATTTCATTTCTGTCCAAGTTAAGAATGATCTGACTCATCGAAAACTCCACGAACAAACATAAACAATGGTGTAACAGTTTCATTCGTCGGATTTTCTTCCCCTTCGACTGCCTTGTGAATTATGAGAAACATATGGGAGTCAAGTCTTGTCCGGCCGATTACTTCTTGACGAATGGCAAACTACAATCTACGTAATCGACTGACTCAGACTGATTTTGAATTTGTAAACTTTCATTGCAATGGACAGTTGACATTGTGCTCTAAAGGAAACAATTTGTATCACTCTTGCTACAGATATAATTTGTAATCTGGAATTTTTGGTAAATTAACTATAATTTGTTTCTTAGTGTGTAACACGTGATGTTATTGTTTTAATAGCACAAAATTTGTATTTTCTAAATTTTTTTATTTATTTCCAGTTCTTTTAAAAATATTATGACAGAGCCCCCCCCCCCCCAAAAAACAAAATAAAAAAAGAAAATACGAGCAAGAAAATAGAAGTTTTAATAATGAGTGGGAGAATTTCTTTTCTATTGACAATAATGGAAAAGCATTATGTGTTATTTACAATTCTACGGTCAAAAATTATAAAGCTAGCAATTTACATCGACATTATGAAACCAATAATCCTCAGTTTTCTAATCAGTATCCACCAAATTCCAAATTAAGATCAGATAAACTTGCTTCTTTCAAATTAAATTTAAAAACACAACAGTCAATTTTGATGACCTTTAGCAATCAAGCTAATATTACGGCTGAAGCTAGTTTTGTTATTGCCTGAAATATTGCTTGTGCAAAATACCCGTATGGAGAGGGAGAGTTTATTAAAAAAAACTTGGAAGATGTACTTAAAGTTTTAGATCCACATAATGCAGCTTTGCACAAATTTGTTTTGCAAATTCCCATCTCGAGACACACAACCGAACGATGCATAACTGCAATTAATACATCTCTTGAATATAATTTAAAAAATTATTTGAAGAATTGTATTGCCTTCAGCTTAGCCCTTGACGAATCAACAGATATCACAGATCTTCCGCAATTGGCAGTTTTCATATGTTTTGTTTCACCTGACTTCGTTGTTAAAGAAGAATTATTAGATTTAGTAGCTCTTCAAGAGTCGATATTTAAAATGTATTATATTCCATAATGAAAACTTTTGATGTGCCTCTTAATATATTTGTAATTATCGCAACTGATGGAGCTCTAGCAATGCTGGGTAAAAAAAAATCGGTCTTATTAGGCTTTTAAGAGATGATTCTCAAATTTCACAATTCATACCGATTCACTGCATAATTCACCGAGAACATCTTGTTACAAAATATTTAAAATATCCTGATGTTATGAAAACAGCGTTACACACTGTAAATTACATTCGCACTAATGCAAAAAATCATCGACAATTCAAAAATTTCCTTGAAGAATTAAAGGATGAAGAACTTTCAAATGACATTAATTTCTTTTCCATTGTTACTTGGTTATCTAGCTACAACATATTAAATCAATTTGTAGATTTGTTTGATCAGATAACTGCATTTCTAAAAGAAAAGGAAATAATGTGTTCAGAATTAGATGATGACAAGTGGTTACAAGACTTTGTTTTTGACTGATGTCATGGAACTGAATTTGCAATTGCAGGAGAAAGATAAAATAATATCTGATATTGTAGTATATTTAGTTTTCAAACAGTATATATTTAGTTTTCAAACTAAATTACAACTTTCTCAAAAGCACATTAAAAATAAAACATTTTGTCATTTTCCTTGAAATAAAAAAATTTGTTCCGATATTAAACAAGAAAAACTCAACGAATATATTAAAAAGCTAGAAGGAATACTGACGGAATTCCAAAACAAATTTCAAAACTTGAAATATTTTAAATCGTCTCTTGATTTTTTTTCTGAACCCATTTGAAATTAACATAATTCAATGCGAGTTTTAAATTTCCAATATAATTATGACCTAAAAAAATATCTGGAGAATTAGAATTAATAGAGATGCAAGAAAATCAAGCTTTACAATTAAAATATAAGTCGATGCCAATTACTGAATTTTGGAAATTTGTACCAGAATCAAAGTATCCTGAATTAAAAAAGGCCGCTTGTCGAATTACTTATGCGAATGATTTTATTCCACTTTAAAATTTGTGAAATTTAAACACCAATCAGTATTAACTAACCAGAATCTCAAAGAATTACTAAGAAGTGCTGTCACCAATTATTCACCAAATTTTAAAGAATTATCAAGAGAAGTAAAATAAATGTGTTTAATTTTTAATATTTAAATTCAATACACATATTTTGTACTTTTATTTATATGTTTTCAATAAATTTAATTTATGTAAAAAAAAATTAATAGGTTTATTGCATACCTTTTAAATACGTATTTAACTGTGGCTCGTGAAAATTTCAAATTTTGAAAAATGGCTCGGACTATTAAGGAACTTGGCCATCCCTGATATATATACAATTACATATTAAAATACATATTACAATGATGACTTGGTGAACGTACACTATGTAGACCGCGCTGATTAATAAGCAGCATTATGGTGAATCACGCAAGGTCTTTGAATGGATACTCAATACTCCAAAACTGGTCACATGGGCATAGCTGGAGTTTACCACCTTCTCAAAGAAATTAAGAGTATTTGAAAGGATATAGTCAAGAGCGGAAGGATCGTCATGAATATCCTTATTTTTAACGAATTACAGTGCATTCATAATCATGCTTAGTAGTTTATTCTGGAAAAATATAGCTTCTTTTGGCAGCACAGCATAAAACAGAACTGGACATATGAATGCTTTAAAGAGTCTTTTCACTCTTAGGTTCAATTTTATTTCCTCCCCAAGCGGTTATACAATGGCATGTAAGTCACATTTGCCTTGCTTAACTCTTCGAAATCCAGATCCTTCGCTAACCTGTATCCTCAAAATACCGAACTGCTCGAAATACTTTTCCAGTTTCACAGCAATTTCCTCCCCTCCCCGTCCATTAATGCAGAAAATAGGTGTGAAGATTTTGAATGACATCCTTTGTACTTTCTAACAAAGATTCCATTAGCCTTTGACCCTGTTCTTTATGAAGCTATTCTGAAGGTCAGACCAACAAGCCTTTCTGGCTTTGTTATGATCACGACTGAGATTTTGTTTACTTCCATTATTTTTATAGGATTATTTTTATATAAATTGATTAAAAATAAATATAATCCTTAAATTTCTTAACTGCACTTTTAATGGTGTTAAATATTTATGATAAAATAGCTCTGGTTTAAAGAGTAGATATTTTGTCATAATTCTGTTAAGTACTAAAATATTCCTGGGTTTTTATAAAGGCTATAAAAATGGGCCCCACTAAGCAAAATACGTATATTTATTATTATCACGTGCAACGTAAATATGAGACAATTTCCGTTGGGAAAATCACTCCCATGCCATCACCAATCCTCTTGTACTTTCCCATATACAA